GATCCCCCCGCCCCCGCGACCCCAGACCCCCAGCTGCTGGCAGCACCAGGTAATGTCTGTCAGGGTGGGGCACGGGGAGGCAGTTGTGGAGATTGAGAGCGTCTCTGAGGGTTCCTGGCAGCTCACTGCTGGAAGGAAGTCTGCCAGGTCTCACCCACGCAGTGCAGATATGCATGCCAGAGGAGCTGGCATTGTAAACACAAATTAAGGCTGGCAGAACGGCTGCAGGGTGAACAGAATTGCCTTGCCAACACAGGAGCAAGCCCGGAAGGCTGTCACCCTGGGTTAAAACATACCCTCAAGAGTGTATTTTTATTTGTGTCGATAGGAAAGGCCACAGAAGCAGCCACCTGTGTGGCTCATGCATTGCAGTGAGGGGCAACCTCAATGTTTGCTCTCATTGTAAAGTCTTCCCTTCTGGCAGACTGTTCTGTGCTGCTGAGTATGGAATCAGAAATTGGCCAACACAGCCAGCCCAGAACAAGTATGAGACAGAAGAAAATTATCCCCACATCTTCCCAATGTAGCAGCAGCAGTCTCGGGCAGAATCAGCTCCTCACCCACAGAACTGATGGCACCCCAAACACAAACCCCGAGCATTTAGAAATGCCACTTTTGGAATAAATGTGAAATGAGCTGTTAGTTGGGTGGACACCACACATCTTGATTATTTGGACTAAGAAGAAAGAGGCGGTGAAACAAGGACTCAATTTGCATCTAATCCTAGGTTTATTCAACACAGTCCTTTCACTCTATACAAGTACAAACACAACCTTACCTAAAATGCTACAAAGTTATAAAACTCAAAACAAAGTTTATAGTACTGACTGTACAATAAAAGCAAAAAGAGGCAATGTATATATACACTGCCCAGGTTAACCTGCAACATCATCATGAATGGCAGGTGATAACGGGGGTGGGGTAGGTTCCATGAGGACCCTGTAGAACTAACTGGCTCACCAATTTCAGAGAGTAACAAAGACACGGGGACAGGAAAGATGCAAGGTAGGAGCTAACAGCACAGCTGCTTGGTCCTCTGTCTGCAGATGTGGCACAGCAACAGCCAGGGCACAACCAGGTTGTCTGATGGGTCCTCGGTCATCTATGGAAAATGGTGTGATGCATTATGGAGGTTTGCTGATTCCAGCTATCTCAGCTATGAACTGGACTTTCAAGAACTGGAAGGGGTGAACTTTCTAGCCAGAAAACTACAGGGTACCTCTATGGGCACAGTCCTGAATCAACAGTACCTCTGCAGCCAGAATCCTCCTGAAGAGGAAATATCTCAACTGCTGTCTTCAAAGACCACCCTGGTGTGGGATCCTTCCCTTTGGATCCACATTTGGCTAGAGAAAGGACAAAACTGAGTAGGGGGAACATAAGTTACAGAGGTACGAATCAATGTCCCTGCTTATCGGGAGGAGTTGGAGCTGGAGCGGCTTCTGTGGCGGTGGCGGCCAGGAGATCGAGACCTCCTACGCACAGGAAACCTGAGCCTTGGGGATCGAGACCTGCAAGAAGAGAAATCAGGTCAGCCAAAAGTAAAAGTTCCAAACAGCACAGCTATAGAGGGAAACTGGCCTTGTCTAAGACAATCATAATCTTGTTTACAACCATACGAACTGTCTGACCCTAAAGCTTCTCTCTTAACCCCTCTTAGAGTCTTTCATTTTTGTTTTTCAAACAAGATTTTTTCTCTGTATAACCCTGGCTGTCCTTGACCTCAGAGATCCACCTGCCTCTGCCTCCTGTATTCTGGCATTAGAGGCCTGTACCACCCTGCCAAGAAGGCCACCCAGGAATGAACCTGGTTTCCAGGGGGCCTGTGCTAACTCAGACTTTATAGATATGGGTTCCTTGGACGGGCCTCATCTGCCTGTCAATAACACCTTTTGACTGTCCTTTCTCTGACCAGTTCCCAAGAGCTCCATGCTGACCTACTTTCTGTATTCAACCTCAAAAGAATGGACAACAATGAAGGACCCCAAAAATCATCACAGCCATTCAGGTGTATAATTCACATAAAGAAGCCAAATGGGTCAAGGACAATTCCAAATTAACTCACCACCTCCTCATCCGTGGGGGTGACCTGCGCCACATGGGAGGCGGTGGAAGCATTCTCCTGGGTGGGCTGAATCGCCGTGGGGGTGGTCTAGGCCAGGGTGCCAACACGGCAGTAGCAGTGATCTCTTGGCCATCTATTTGTCCTGTAGAAAAAAGGGACAAAAGCATAAAAGCTCTAATATTAAATACTTAACATACTCACACCTGTGATGGTGTGGTGACACAT